TAGTTCACCGGGCATAAGGAATTACTTAAACCCCTGTCAGCTATTGCCACTCAGTGAACTCACAAGAAATTTTAAAATTTCCAGGGAAACACAGCCACATCTATCAGATATGGAATGCAATACTACTATTGTGTTGTTTGGGCCTAACTACTTAGTAAATGGACATGTTAGATAAATTTTTTGGCTTTGGGAGGACCATGAAAATAATACTGAGACTAAGGGTGTACGAATAGAAACACCTTGAGAACTTCTAATGCAAGTAATAACCTTGACAATAAAAAGTAAAAATCATCGCTCATGAATATGCTATTTGTACCCTATGCTACCGTGAGTCGCTGCATGATAGGCGATAAAATAGGTCTGGTTAACAGGAGGCAGTTACAAGATGACAGTTTTCAATTTATAGTGATACTTACATCCTTTACAAACCAGATGAACTACTATACATGGTTCAAGGAAAGGACAAAGAAAGGACTAACCTAGTAAATTTTTATCCACAACTGATTGTCAGAGAGTGAGAGCACTTAGGGAAAACAACAGCTTTCAAAAATTCTAATGTGAAGCCTATTGTATTTGAGTGCCCCCAAATAATCTTTTAAATGGAAAAGAAATATTATTTTCAACTGACTGAAGATGAAATACCTGTCATTTTTAACAATGAGTCATAGCAAAGATTACACAGATGTAACCATTCCATATCCATGGGTTTTCCAGGTCAATCTTCAAAATGTGCTGAAAACACCTATTAAGGACAAGCATGATTTTGTAGCCTTAGCATTATTGTTTAGTTTCAAACTAAATTCTGGGCCACCAAGGGCCCCGCATTTCTCCAACAAGTCCGGGATCCTCCTTCCAGGGTTTTAGAAGATCTCACAAGCTGAGAGGGCAACCTGATGGCCAGAAGGATGGAACAAAACATTGATTTGGGAAAGGTGTTAGCAAACCAAGACACGGGAAAGAGTAACTGACTGGTGGAGTCCCATTTTTTCATTACTGAATAATGGGAATATTCCAATATTCAAATAGCATCACTTTCAGTCAGAGCATGGGAAGAGGTTTCTTTCCATTTGGCTCATCTGAGCTCAACCAGGTCAGACACACCTGGAGTCTTCTGAACAATGTCTGATTCCTGCAAAGGAGTCAGATGGTCCACTCTCATTCAAGGCTTCCATCTTGCTCTATGTGGACCTCTGGGCCACGTGAAAGGGAAAAGGCTGATTCTTGAAAGAAGTTAAAATCATGCAATCAAATCCTCTAGAATATATCACAAACATTTATGAAAACTGGAATTTTAAACAAGCCAACATAAATTAGTCAAGTTTGTTATTGCTCTCCAAGGTAAGTATATAAATGGTTGGGCTTTGTGAGCTGAGATTATATTATCTGATCTCAGGTGATATTTGAACGGAGTAATAATGACAAAAACTGGCCCTTAGTAGATCAGAATGTAGAAGGAGGAAATGCTGAACTTGGTAACCATGGTGGGTAGCTGATATCTCTCCAGTGGTCTTTTTTTTTCCTTATTTGTCAAGGAGCCAGAAACTCACCCTGAGTTGTGCCAGGGGAAGAAAAGAACTTTGAAAAAAATGTATAGAAAGTTATTGGGTACATTTCTGCTTATCATATGCTTATGAATATTATAATGCCAATATTGTGTTTACATGCACATAAATGTTTTTAAAAAACACAGATGACATACATAGAGTCTAGCCATTAAGCAGTACTTAACCAGTAAATGCTCAGATGTTAGCAATGACCCTAATATGAGGAACATATCCATGATGAACATTAAGGAAATTGGAATACGACCTAACAGATAGTAATTGCAAGGATATTACAAATCCTATTATGTAGGCAAATGTCTGGAAACTTTGCACCATCTAAAGAAGACCTACATAACCAGACTGAATACTCTGCAATGACAAGTAAATTACATAATGGCACTGTAGTTATGTAAATGACTCTGCTCAGTATATTTATTTCAATTTTATGTGAAGTCAACCTTCATCCAGAAAAACCTAGTGCTGATTCACTTCATTGACTTTTCTTTTTTCTTTTTTCATTTGCTTTGCAAGAACAATCCTAAAATCAAATAAATGTTTTACTAATTTTATTCTTTGCCTTTTCTGGCATTTACTTCTCTTTTCCAATTTGAAATGCAACCAGATGCTTCTGTGAAATAAAAACGGAATTATGAGACAAAATGGCTCTCTCTAAATCTTCGGTTTGTAGGCAGCCCACCAGCAGTTACCTTGCATGTGAAACTGGAAATAGGGGTTGCTAGACATTCTAAATTACAAAATATGCTTAAGATACTATGTAATTGAGGTCACAGTAAAAGGCAAGTTATTCCTTTCTTTTTTAAGTTTGCCACTAAAAATGGCTATAGAACCTTGAGGATTACTCTAAAATAGCAGTATGTAAGAACATTCTAAGTCTTTTGAATCCATGTATAATGGCAGTGTTGATTAAATCGTTCTAAGGAAATCTAAAAAATGCCAGCCAGTGGTCATTCCCATTTTGGGGGTTACTGGGATGATATCATCACCCTCATTTAGTAAATTTAGTATGTTTCAGTAGATTTGTAGAAAGAAAAATTGCTTGTTAAAAAATGATGCCCAGCTTAGTCTAGCCCTACAAAATCCTATTAACATTTTTTGTGCAGTCCCTCCCGAACAGGGACCCATGGTTGGCTCACAGTAAATTTTCATACACAAGAATACTATTGACTTTATGACAGTACTCAGGAGACTCTAGCCGGTGGTCACGATTCCAGGGCCCAAAGAGGGGTTCGAGGGACTATAGCCAACAGACAATTTTGCAATGCCCAGGAAAGTACTGTTTTCTAAAAGTCATGTTGGGAAACATCCCTTTGAAGCACATGATTAAGCAGATGTGGCCAAGAGTTTTTACTTATTTTAGTCTATGACACTTTTGAACCATTTTCTTTTTGGCCTCCTAGGCTCATCCATGTGAAACTGAGGCAGCTCAAATCCAAGCATAGGAATCCATGTGTCATTTTGCTTAAGAAGTACTGTAGAACAGTTTCGTTCCAATACATTAGCCACTAGTCACATGTGGCTATTGAGCACTTGATGTACTAAAGGTATAACATATACTCCTGATTTTGAAAACTTAGTATAAAAATTCAAAATTCAAAATATCTCATTAAGTTTTCATATTGATTATACAATGGAGTAACAGCACTTGTTCTAGATGATAACTTCTACAATCATTCTAATTTCTACCTTATTTATGTACTTGTGGAATAATTGAGCTCTTTTAGTTTGAAAAAACCAGTAGGATTCCAATTAGACTTTTTTAAAATGGGAAAATAATTCAAGATTGTCTTTCTTCACGGCTCCTGCTACCCAGGGCCCAGCGGTGCAGTCAGGCCTGAGTGATGGAATGATACGACAACTGCCCGCCCTTGGAACGGTGTGGGGGTGGGCCAGGAGGGGCAGTATGTACTGATCTTCCAACTAATTGCCACTTCTAAGAAGATCCATTTCCCTCTCTTCTTTCCTTTTCCAATATATGGGACACTTACCCTGTATGCCTGTTAAGTCTCATTAGGAAAAGTACACCAGGCAATTGATCTTCTTACATGGAAATGTTAATGCTTAGTGAAAAAGGCATTCTTAAAGGTTAAAAATAGTGAGCCCTTTACAATTACTAACATGGAAATTCTGAGAGAGGATAAAGAAGGAAGGAAAGAAATGGGGGAAGTGGATAAGTACTCTCTACTAGCTAATAAAAATAAATCAAAACAAAAAATATTCTTCTGAGCCCAGATGATGTGCCCTTAAGGGCTTTTTCCTCTGTCCATGTTGATGACCTGCCAGGCCCCTAAACTATGGGTGATGAGAAGTCCTACCTTGTTTTCTTTTCATGAGAACAGTAGTAAAGGAAGATATGCACTTGGAAAGCAGAATGTCTCCCAAGGTCTAGTAGCCCCCCAGGAACCAGAGATTTAATTTCATTTTCCAATTTCATAGTTTTGAGGAAGAGCCAAAAGAATTTAAGATCTTTTTTGATGAGGATTTTTCTGTGACAGTCATTTTTACTGTCATCGTTTTGGTCTTTGAGAACAATCCTTTTTTAAAACTGAGGAAAACTTAAAACGTGACGCATAAATCGATAAAAACGTTCACTTCAACTCAAACTAGAAATAAATACGAGGTACTTGGAATTTAAGTGTGATTTCTATAGGGGAAAAGTGTTCATATGAAAATCAAAGAAAAATACTTTGAAAAAACATCATGGTGAAGTATTAGGTCTAATGTTACAGCTTCTCATGAGTCTGATTTGAAATCAGTGCTTTCTTTTCATTTTTTTTTTTAAGGTAAACAAAATGTTGCACTGTCCTAAATTTCTTGGCACGGAAACTACAAACTACATTGTAAAATTTGGGCCCTTCTATTCCAAGCATGAAAAAAAGATATGACAGATTTTCAGAAATATCTTTAGTTCATAAGCAATATATCTAGATAACCATCAGTTGAAGGAAAAAAGGACTTTCATAAACAAGATTCCTTAATCTAGTAAAATCAATAATGAACGGTCTTATAATGGAATATTATTCTCACTCTTTTCAGACATTCTGGCACCAGCCTATGGGGTAGATTTTTCTAAATATATGAAACTTGGTAATAGTAGAGTTTATCCATAAAAAGGTCACTGTCTTTAAAGTTGTAGAAACTCATGAATAAATCCAATTTTATCTGAAAATGACAAGCAGTCAACCTTTGTGAGAATAAGTCCAGGGCTTAGCTCCTTTTCTTCCCTCGATTTCTTTAGCTCACCTTAAGTGTTGTCCATGAGAAAGAAACTGTATTAGCAGGGGAAGGAAGCAGTACATCCCTCAGCATGAGTTTGTAAAATGCTTTCTCCAGGATTGTAAAATGGCAGGATTTTGTGATAGAACATTTTTGGTTATTAGTAATACAGTGTGTATAAATAAGGACAAAATAAGAAAGCATTCTCTACACAAGCTTTACGGGCATTTTGTTTCACGGCCCTTATGTATGCTTCAATTTCTTACCATTTTAGGTGGGAATTTTTTTTTTTTTTTTGTATGTATCATAAAACTAACCTGTAACCATCTCCTTGTAAACAGTTTGAACACATGGGACAGTTTGAGCACATTGAAAAGAATAATGTTGTGAATGCCATGGGAACACGTCTTAGAGCACTACCTAATATTAGTTAAGCAAGAGTCCAAAGGAATTACTGCTTTATGAAGAAATCCAAAAGATTATGATGACTAGGTTTTCAAAGCAAAAACAATTTACTAGTTACTTCAACGTGTGCTACTGGTCCCTGAACATGTATGTTTTTAAATGTTGTGTTTACTTGCAATTTCAAATTTAACTCCTCGGCATTAGGTATCCATTACATATCATAGAAGACACTATTTTTTCATAAAGCAGTCACATGCATGAATTTAGGATTACCAACTGATAGATATGTATTATTTTTTTGCACCTCAAAAAACAGAATCACTATGGTGCATATCATGCTTCCACACCTTCCTTGCTGAAGGACAAAATGCATAAAGTGCCAGAATTTGGCTTCCAGTTTGGAAAGAAGCCAAATCAGTATTCTGGCAGGACCACGTCATTCTGCTGAGCTCCAAATCCCAGAGCCGGGTTTTCTTGCCCTTCTTTGGGGACTGCTGCTTCCTCCATGGTCTTCAGCTTCTCCTCTACTAGGCCCTCATCTATTTCTGGGGCAACCACCTTTATCCCATCCTCTAGTGCCTTGGACACCATGTTGGTAGCCTTTCTATCCGCATCTTTAACTTCCCCTACGGCCTGTACCTTCATCATCTCAGCCTCTGCCCCGTCAACTGCCACCTGGGCCCCACCTCCTTGAGCTTTCTCTCCTTCCGAAATAGCTTTAACATCTTCACTGCCATCCTGGGTCAGAGCTGGCGCTTGGCTGGCCTTCTGGCTCTCTTGAATGCTGCCATGGCTGCTGCCGGCACTGCCCAGCCGGGAAGAGGCCACTACGGCCTTCACTGCTGCCTGATTGGAAATAGACAAGTGTCAGGTGTTAACGTCCACTTCCAGTCCTGAATCAGAGCTCAGTCTCAGCTTTGCATTTAGGGAGTTTGTTGTATCTGTTTTATATGTTCAAAATATATTCCAAGATGGTTGAATGAAAACTTGTCTGGAGATGAACAGCAAAATCTTTTTTAATCTCAAGCCTACTGTATTTAATCATCTGGACAAGTGAAAGCTTGGATAAATGTGTTTGCCCCTGGATTACTTGTTTGCAAATATTTTGGACTTTGTTTCCCAAAGTGTTTCATGGAACACTAGTATTACGCGACAAAAGAATTCCATGGTCAAGTTTGTTTGAGAAGTCCTGGGTTAAGTCAAGGTTATTTAATCCAAAGTATTTCAAATCAGTTTGACCACACAACCTTTAAGGTTTATTTACTTTATCAGCCTGTAAGTGATTATTTTTGACCCTCAGCTGTTCTCTGAAATCCTCTGCAGCTATAGTAAGTCTTAAACACCATTATGTAAGAGAAAATCATCGAATATATATTCCATATATATTCTATACAAAGATATATTTTGGATAATTTTCTATATCATGTGAATTACAGTTGACCTTTGAACAACATGGGTCTGAATTGCAATGGTCCACTTATGCGCAGATTTTTTTCAACAGACACATTGAAAAAAATTTTTTGGAGGTCTGTAACAATTGAAAAAGCTCACAAAGTGTGTAGCCTAGAAATACGCAAAACATTAAGAAAGAGTTAGGTATTATTCTAAGAATATAGCACATAATACATATAACATCCAAAATATGTGTTAATCGACTGCTATCGGTAACGGCTTCCAGTCAACAGTAGGCTATTAGTGATTAGGTTTTTGGGGAGTCAGAAGTTATAGGTAGATCAACTGTGTTGAGGAACTGGTGCCCCTAACCCCAGCGTTGTTCAAAGGTCAGTTGTATTTTAATTTTTATCAATTGTGGGAATTTATTTATATTACAAAATACAGGTTTTTAAAAAAGTTTCCCAATTTTCACATATTCAGAAAGAAGGCAACTTTCTGAATAAGTATCAGTTTCCTGAGCAATGCTGTTTAAGCAGTTCAGTCTTAATTAAATGAGAAGTAGTGATCATATATTTGGTGAGTAAATCTCAACCTATAACACATTTCCCTTTATTAACAATGAGTTCTTATGAGAGAATAACATGGTCCTCAGTGGCTTTACACCAGTATTGTTGGGATTTCAGGTCAGGATTTTCCCTGGTACCACAGGAGATTGAATAATATTAGATGAAGAATAAATGGAATTATCTTTAATAGTTCAAGCTGAGAGAGAGATTTAAAACAAAACAAAACAAAACACAAAACAAAACAGAGCAAAACAAAACATATCTTACCTTAAGCTTGCGCCGGGCATTGAATTCTTGGAGCTTCTTTTGAGCAGTATCCATGTGTACAAAATTGGCTGCTTTACCTGTGACCCATGGGTGCTGGAGAGCTTGGAAGGTAGTCAGCCGTTTCTTAGGATCCAAAACAATTAGTTTTCTGACCTGAAATGATGAAGAACCATAGATTTCTTAGGGAGATTTTTACAGTGACCCAGCCTGTGAACTTCTAGGTTTTATTCTATTTTCCTAGCAGTACCACTAACTATACAAAAAAAAAAAAAAAGCTTTTAAGCCCTCAGTGGTCACTGTAAGGATAGCTTCAGGTAGCAGTCGCTGAGGGGCTGAGAAGACAGTGGTGTGTGCCACCTGAGAGGCCAGACTGGCAGGTGGCTTTCCAAGGGAGGTCAAAGAAATAGGTTCTTGGTCGCCTGTGGACTGGAAGTTCTTTGAAGGAGAACCAGCATCTGAATAATTCTAGGCTGTACTTAGCACCAGTTAGATTTAGAACTTCGGATGCATCTCAATGGGGATGGAATCATCGTGCATTCATCATGCTTTCTGTAAGGATCTTTTTAAAAAGATTTTACTTATTTGTCACAGAGAGAGAGAGCACGAGCAGGGGGAGCGGCAGGCAGAGGGAGAAGCAGGCACCCCGCTGAGCAAGGAGCCCTATGCGGGACTCGATCCCAGCACACTGGGATCATGACCTGAGCCGAAGGTAGATGCTTAACCGACTGAGCCACCCAGGTGTCCCATCGGTGGGGATTAAATGGCAACAAAGAGATAGTATAGTTTTTATGCTTATCCCATCATTCTGTGATAAAATTCACTCTAATACCTTGAAGGTTGTGAAGGAATAAGCCAAGTGCTGGAGTAAAACGGTGTCAGTGGTTTAGGGGTATGATTTGTTTAAAGGACTAGATTCAAACCATGGCAGACCATTCTGGGAGGTTGATCCCTGAGAATGAGCAGATAATAAACTGCCAGGAAGATCAACAACCAAAATAATCCCTGGCCCTGGGCTCAGAAGGGGTGACCTGGAATGAGGTAGAGACTGTTAAGAGTTAGGAGGCACATTCAAGCTCTAGTTACATCTCTTACCCACTTTTGTGAGTCTGGACAAAGACCGACATACGAATTGAGTGCCTATGGACATTCTCCTAGGCCCTTTTCTTATATGATCTCTTTTCCACCTTAATTCCTTTGTAAATACATTCTTACATACATATAAAAATGTTTAAAAACTTGTGTAATTCTTTCCATAACCTTATCAACTTGGAACAATTAGCTCCAATTCATAAATGAGAGATGGAAGGAAGCTCAGAAAAATTTAGTGCCTTAACTAAGGCCAGACAACTTGTAACTGGTGGAGGCTCTATTCCAACTCAGGTCTGTCTTACCTCAGAGCTCATCTTGTGGCCACTACACCGCAGTGCCTCCAAGGGCAGTCCACCCCTCTGGCCTTCATCTGCCCATGTGGCAAATGGGGGCTATGGGTGATGTAAGGCCTAAGGTCTTCTCTAACTCTGTTAAGCTAACAAGAACTGAGTACGGGCTAGCACAATCAGGCAGTAAGTCAAAAGAAGAACAAATATCTGGTTCTCCTCTTACTTCTTTTCTGCAAAAGTTGCAAAGAAATGTGTGTTTGGGGTAGAGAAGCAGAATTTGTAGAGGGCAGAGATGTGAGGCTGCTTACGCTAAAAATCTGAGTGGAGGTGGTGGGAGGTACAGATGATTAAGGAAAATGAATGCACAGCAGTAAATAAAAATCTGATCACAGTCATAGCTGTCACCTGTGGGATACATGTCCTAATAATTTCGTACAAACCGTACCTAATCCTTAACAGTTCACAATGAGATCTTTCCCTCCCATTTTCCGATCATCCTCATCTTCCTCATCATTACCATCCTCCTCCTCGTGAAAATATGAAGAACTTACTGAAAGTCAGTACGTGCCCCCAAATTCCCACCTGTTGGCGTTAATCTTTGCATTTGAAGATATGGATGCACTAAACTGTCAAACTTGCTGAAGGTCAGAGAGCCCCGTGACCTTGTCAAGATTCAACCCCAAAGCCTTGCCCTAATCCTACAGCCCGACCTTACAACCTGACCTTACCACTCATCGGCACTGTTCCTCTGCTGATTTCACAATAGATGCGGGTGCTGCTGATAGGTACACATCTGTGGTACGCAAGGATTCCTTTAGTGCTGAAGTTTTATAAGTTTATTAGCCCAAAGGTAAGATTTAGCTGAATGAAGGCATACCACAGCTAACCCTTGTACCCATTTGATTTTTATTAGCGATGAAAGAAATGGAAGGAGGGCTATATAAAGGAACTATTAGGGAGTTAGTTGGTGGTAGTCAGTTAACCTGCATTATAGCCCTTAAGTCTCCCAGCAATCTAGAGAAAGGTACTGGAATCATCCCAGAAAAGAAAACTAAAGCAGAGAGATTAGATAACAAGCCCCAGGTCACACCTCTAGGTTATGACCAAGAGGGCTCTTGAATCCAGATATGTCAGACTTTAAAAATCCATGGTCTACTTCCTGATTCATCGTTTCATTCAAAAAACAGTTGCTGAGTCTGTACTCTACGCCCAAATGGTACTAAGATCTGGGCACACATGTCTCGACCTCTCCCAGAACTTACAATCTAGCTAAAGAAGCTCTTCCCACAAGTAAATATAAGTCACAACCATCATGAAAGAGTAAGTCCAGGGGGCAAGGGAACAATGTGGCAGAAGGAACAAAGCAATTGTGGGAAGGAGGGACTGCTGGGTGGCAGGGGGCGGGGTGCAGACAACGCCACCAGGAGGATGTCAAAGGCAACTAGAGCTTGACAATAAGACTTACTCATGCGAGAGGGGTGTGTGTGTGTGTGTGTGTGTGTGTGTGAGAGAGAGAGAGAGAGAGAGAGATGGTGGGGAGGGAGAGGGAGGAAGAAAGGAGGGAAGAACAGTAGGGTAGCGGCCCACATCCTGAGCTACCCTGATGAGGGACTGGTGGGTCTGGTGCCCTGGAGTGAAGCCCATCAGAGGACAGGGCAGTGAAATGGGTAGCATGGGCAGGGTGACAGACTCCTGACCAGTCTAGGTGGTGCTATGTAGATCTGGTTACAGATTTTGGATTTTATCCTAAGCCTCAAAGCGGGAGAGTGACAGGGTTGGTTTTATTTCTTAGGCCCTTCCTCTGGATCCTGTGTGGAGGCGGTGGGAAGGCCACGGGGAGGGGGGGGGTTGTGGCAGGGGTCCCGCAGGAGAGGCTGGGGTGGGCGGGGGCGGTGCTGGAGTGGAGGGGAGTGGATGGCTTCAAGAGGTGTTTAGGAGCGTGGGGCCTGACTTGCGGGAGGAGTTGGGAGGATGCCTCCACACATCACACACACTGCCTCTCTGCCTGGCCGTCCTGAAAAGTCATGGTCTACAGGGGTTTGTTCCATGAAAGAACATGGATGGGAAGGAGGAAATGTTTGGAGGGAAAAGAGCATTGGCTGGAAACCTGGATCATTCATTCTGCTGGGAAGCTGTGTGACTTTGGACAATCATTTCACCTTTCTGGGCTTCAGCACCCTCAACTCTATTTTTTTTTTTTTTTACTTAAGAGAGAGAGAGCATGAGCACGCACGTGAGTGCGCGCGCACACACACACGCACGCACGCACGAGCAGGGGGGAGGGGCAGAGGGAGAGGGAGAAGCAGGCTCCCTGCTGAGCAGGGAGCCCAAGGATGTGGGGCTCGATCCCAGGACCCTGAGATCATGACCTGAGCCGACTTAGTGACCTTAACCGACTGAGTGACCCAGGCGCCCCCAGCACTCTCAACTTTTAAAATGAAGGAAAGACTAGATGACTCATAAGATCCCTTGGAGAGCTAGCTTTTGTGGTTCAAAAGTCAGGTTTTAGTTATTTCTGTGTGGTTTTTCTCTAGACAATTGATGGGTAATGTTTTCATCCCAAGCTAATCTCCCCTTTATTTTAGAACAGGTGGGCCATCTCGCCAGAGTGTATGTCTTTCCTTTATGCAAACAAACTTCAATGTTAGCTTAAGCAAGAACCCAAGTAAAACAAACAAAAAACCAAACAAAGTGAACGATCAGTAGACTGTAACTTGTTTATGATGCCCCGTAAGGTATGATGGGACTTATGCTAATATTGCGATATTTCAGTAAGTTTGAACCTTTCAAGATGCAATGTTGTTCTATTCAAAGTATAATCAAATCTAGGTAATCTAGGGAAGCCCTGTTAAAATGGAATTCTAAATTATGTTTGAATTCACTCAGTACAGCTGGCTTCAAAAAGCAAGGTTCTACATTGACTAGGTGGTAAAATCTCACTAATACTGCAGTAATTTTTAAGTTGTGATAATTCAGCAAGTGATGAGTCAAGCATATCTGTTTTTCATGATCTACAAGAAAAATGCATTATGTGCATTGTTTTATTAAAAATACAATTATTAAGAGAGGCAAATTTTAAAAAGGACACTGCCCATTAATTAGTTAAAAATGAATGTGAAGATTTTACTTCATTTTGTTTTGGTCACACTTACCAGGTCCTTGGCATTTAGAGATACTTCATCCCACCAGGGGGAGATAAAGTAGTATTCACAATTCAGAATTCTCCTGAACATGAACTGATCACCTCTTTCATCATAGAATGGTTCAAATCCACAAAGTCTAGAAGGACAAAAGATAGGGAATAATATGTCTTTAGAACCCTAAATATATCTCATCATATTTTTGCAGAAATTCCAGACTGTCCTTTCCAAGCTTCCTGTTATGAATGCAAGTCTACTCAGCACAAGTGTGTTAACTGCCTTGTTACAGTTCACTTTTGACTGTATAAATACACAATCACGTCCTCTGGAAGTAAGAACAGGTACCAAACTGACTTAGAATTTCTAAATAGAGTTTATAATAACATCAATAATTATGACACAAAACAACAACAAGGATAATAGCTAACATTATTACAGGCACCATGCTAATGACTTTCTGCGTAATTTTTTCACCAGGAATTGAGAAGACAGATTGATTAGAGTTCCAATTTATTATGAAGTGGAGGAATCAGGATTTTTTTTTCTGAGCTTTTTAAGGATTTATTTATTTATTTATTCATTCATTTTTGAGAGAGAGGGAGTGAGAGAGAGAGGGAGCATGAGCAGGGGGAGAGGCAGAGTGAGAGGGAGAAGCAGGCTGCCCTAGGATGAGCACATGGGGCTCGATCCCAGGACCCCAGGATCGTGACCTGAGCAGAAAGCAGACACTTCACGGACTTCACGGACTGAGCCACCCAGGCACCCAAGAATTAGGTGAATATTTTGAGAATAGAGAAATTAAGAGGTAGACAGAAAAGATTTGAAAAAAAAAGTCATTTTTATTCAGCCCTATTCACTGAATTCCGCCATAGAAATGAGTGAAGTATTAGATTTCCATCCCACTCCAGTTTGAATTTCAGAGTGAACAAAGACAGGAAGTAAGACTTTTGTCAGGAAATGGCCTTTTAAAACTTGACACAGTGAACACATGCAGCCAACAGAGATGAGCAGCTAGCATCCACGCAGCCTTGTGTGTGACCCTCATTTCTGTCTGTCTTAAAGACCCACATTCACCTTCATTTTGCACTAGAGGGTCAGCCTATAAATGAATGGGAAAAGTGGGAGAAGAGAAATAGAGCATCATCTCTGGCATCCTAAAGGGAGAGAGGAAAAGTGCATTGTTGGTCGGGGCCCACCAAACCCTCCACTGTTTACAGACAGGTACAGGTTCTGAAATCACTAGGGATCGAAAGGGGACTATAAATAATAAGTCCCTCCCAGGGCATGTGTTGTACTGAAGAAAAAATGGGGGGAAAAGAATGAACACGTTAAAAAACATTCTCCCAAATTCTTTCTTCAAGCTGGTCGTGTTGGTGCAGAGCATGAAATGTTTGAGTGTATTCTAGTGCAGTGGGTTTCTACAGAGAAGCATTCTCTCACATCCTTTGCTCAGGGAACACCCTGTTGGGAGAGTCTTTGTCTTTTTTTAAATATTCTGGAGCCAGCCAGGAAAAGACAGGGCTTGGCAGTGCTGAGTCACAGACTAGGGAATCTTCCTGTCCCATTGCAGCAGTCTACACAGAGAATCCTGCTGCTCCATAAGGAGAGAAGGGAGCCCAGGTCCACATCTTGACAAGGAGGTAGCTCAGCCTTACTTGGCCCTCCTGTGCCATCCACAGCACTAGAAAAATATAGCCTATTGTTGTTAGTCATGGAGAAATTAGCCAACATTTCAGGCTTAGTTTAAGAAACTCTTACTAAGTTTCCCCTTCTGGAAATCTAGAAAGAAACATGACAGTTCAGAAGGTACAGTGCTCAGATGCCTTTCTCACTTCTCAAACATGCCTGTAAATGTGTGCACTGGTGATGGAAGTAAGAAGTTTATGTCATAGCCTGAAATGCCAAAAATGGAAGCCATGTGACATAGAGCAACACACACATGCAGGGCAAAAAACCTTCAGACATGGAAATATTTGAATGATGACAATGATAGTTTAGGAGGATATTAGGATTATCAAGGCCTGAAGTGTGAATGTATACTAAGGGAACCTCCAAGCCATTGGGCAGAACTATATTGTTGAAAGGTGAGAGAGAGAGGCTGAACCTCTGATGTTATTGGGTTCTGATTCTGACCTGAGCATTGCAGTAGTTGCTTTTGTCTGTAGGTACAAAGGGTTTAAGTGTAAAAGGTAGAGGGGCCAGAATTTCTGTGAGAAACAACAAAATGGCTTTCATTTCCAGTCTACTGTCATCCTTAGAAATAGAAAGGTCATAGCACAAAATAGCCTTATGGAACTTTTAATAATAATAAAGGAGATACATAGGTCCAATGGCACGATCTTGCGGAAGTGTCCCAGTGAACCTCGCCTGGTGGACTTCATCAGTTATTAATGAACTACAGATTAGATAAAACCACCCTGGGCTTAGGGGCTGACAGAAGTGAGGCCAGCACTAAAGGACATTAGTTGTAAGCAGCATTGATAATATATTTTCATTTGGGAGCTACCACTGCACACTTTGAACCAACAACTATTAATTAATGACCTTAAGTGAACCAAGGGAAAGGACCTTGACCGACTTTTTTTTTTTTTTTTTTAAGTAGGCTCCACATCCAGCATAGAGCCCAGCATGGGGCCTGAACTCACAACCCAGAGATCAAGACCTCAACAGAGATCAAGAGTTGGATGCTTAACCAACTGAGCCACCCAGGAGCCCCAGGTCCTTGGCAGACTTTTAAAATTATTTTCAGGGCTATGATAAGATGTTTCTCCAACAATTACATTTTTTTCTCTTCATTTTCCCTGGTCAGTGACCATGTCATGGAATTTTACTCATTCCGTTTTTCAGGTTCTCAGGGTGAATGTGATGTAGTTTTTCCGTCTCTCTGAGTTCTTGTACATCCTTAATGCTTCCCCCTCTCACCCCCCATCACATTTCAGCATGAAATTGCAATTGATTGGGCACACTGACATTTTAGGGGCAAATCTGATGCATTATTTGCATGGTTCGGATTTTCATTTGATGTCACCTACCTAATTCAGGAGTCAATATTTTCTTCCCAGTATAGAAGTGATCTCAAATGTAAGCTGAAGGAATTCCATGATGTGGCCTCAGGAATTCATTTTAATAAATTAAGCACTTACGATGACAAACACATTATCTAACAGTTTTGCACTTTCCTAAGAAAAAACACGGTTATCTACCTCTCCAAATGTTTTTCAAGCTTTAGTATATTCTGGATACACAAGGAATTCAACACTGAAACTATCTTTTGACATTGCGTCGTAGCAGATGGCTATTTACTGGATTGCTTGTTAAACATTTTTGTCTTGGCTACAGATGACTGAATATACCCAGGTGAACTTAGAGTTTACTAATTTGTTTGGGGGTACCCTAGTTACCTTCCTTCTAGCCCTTATTACCTAGACACTGCACTTTCTAAGATCACTATTAAATTAAAAAAAAAAAAAAATCCCAAACCTCTTCCTGCTATGGACTGAATTGTGTCTCCCTAAAATTCCTATGATGAGAAGTCCTCATGTGATGGTATTTGGTGATGAGGCCTTTGGGAGGTAACTAGGGTTCGATGTATTCATGAGGGTGGGCCAACTTCATGATGGGATAAATGTCCTTAGAAGAAGAGATACCAAAGAGCTTACATTCTTTCTCTGCCATGTGGGGAACAAGTAAGGAGGCAGATGTCTGCAAGCCAGGGAGAGAGCTCTCACCAGGACCGGACCTCCTGGCTCCCTGAGCTCAGACTTCCAGCTCTGGAACTGTGAGGAATAAATGTCTGTTGTTGAAGCCACTCAGCCTGTGGTAGTTTGTTATAGCAGCCTGACCGACTAATATGCTTTCTTTTATACCCTCTAAAGTCTCTTTATAGTTTGAATATTACAGGTTTCAACAAGTAACTGTGCAGTGTCCTCCAAATGGCAACCAAATCTACTTGTTTTGAATTAAACTCTGGAATTCATTGATATCTTGCTTCTGTGGCTGCTCTTCGGCAGTCTTCCCAGACACTCCTCGGTCCTTCTTGCTTATCTTCCTCATGTTCCTCGGCAATTCCATCATCTCTTTGGCAAATTTCCTGAAACCCCTTTTTTATTAGTAGACAGAAGCTCAGAAATGGCGTTGGGGATACCAGAGAATGAAAGATTTAGCTCATCTTTTTTCTACCAGGAAAAAGGTTTCTCTGAGTTTAGGATATTAAACTCAAGGTCCTTGAGGACCTAACAGAGACAGAAAACAAAACTGATAGCCAAATTGCATTAAAAACACTGCTGACAAGAAATGTCCCTGTCTGGAATTGCTTAGGAGATTAAATAGGCATCTGCCCTTTAAAAAGGAGTGATACTGTATTTTGACAAGATGTAAATAAGTAAACAAGGGCAAGTTAAATAGATGGACTTGGGTTTCACATTCGTTACTATCATCAAATAGTGAATTGCTCCCCAAATCTGCTATACATTGCACTGCAGAATGAGGTGTAGAAAAGCTCTGGACAGAAGGTCTGGCCCCAGGAAAATCAGAGAAGAAAATGCAATGCTTGTTTTCAGAAAAGTCTATCAGTAACTACATTTAGTATGTTGTAGAAAATTGCAAAAGTCAAAAAGTAATCTTGCTTTTTATGAGGACACTAAGTACCTAAGAAATATACAGCAAAGGCAAATAGTACCCATAGAGATTGCTTTTCTTCACTTACAAGATGTAGGTGATTATTCCTACAGACCACATGTCCACCTCAGGTCCATAGGCACAGCCTCTAAGAATTTCAGGTGCTGCAGGAAGAATGAATATTGTGTTAAATTGGACTTTAAACTTAACATTTACATCTCAATAACAAGCAACAGGTAAGAAATTAATTAACAGAAAGTTCAGAACAGTTTTGTAATCAATTTTGTCCCCCCAAACCAAAGTAGGGGACTACAATTCTTAACATCTGTTTTAGTGGGAGAAATTAAAGTCTTTCTGTGTTTGGGGTGCAAAGCTATTATCTTTGATAGTCTATATTGGAACATCATTCCAATCAGGTCTCTTGTAAAAGATCCCTTACTTCAAAGGGAGCTTTGTATGCAGAAAAGAAAGAAAGACAAGTTCAGCAGAGTAAGGGGGAAAATGCACAGTGATGCTACCTTGAGATCGAGATCTAGATCTGCTTGGAGCATGGAGCATTGATGCACGTGTGTATTCGACCATGTACAGGGCAGGGAGCAGGGCAGACAGTCAGAAGGACTGAGAAGCCTCAAGGGCTGGGAGGCTGGAACAAAAGTTCGAAGGGGCCCTGGCACATGCCCTAGAACTGAGAACTACATGGAGGGCAGCTGTCCCCAGTCAGTCTGGGATTATGAATGGAGAAAGGGACCTTCTCTGTGCACAAGAAGTCTGCTCCTATTAGCCCTGCTCACCACGGTGAAAACGGAAGGTCTTCTCAGCCATGAAACGGCCTTGTAGTATAGAATGATGAGACCTTTTCTGTTGGTATTATGTTGGAGCTGTGAAAATGGAGCATATACTGGGTCCAATCGTTTGCACCGAGAATTGGAGGTGTTATTTGTTTGCCTAACTAACAAGGAAGAAAAAAAAAAAAAGAAGTGAGAGCTTTACAATCCATGCAGAAATAAGGCTCAGACCTATAGCCCAGAGTGGCCTTTTTCTATTTTGAACAAAAGTGCTGTAGGTGTCAGTGGGGTCCCCGAGGAAGGAACTGATTGATGAATGCTGAGGGCTCCTTGAGGGAGACTTTGAGGATGGGGCACCACACTCCTTCTTCCAGCTGGAAGCAGGAGAGCAAGGGAACTGGATCCCCTGTCTGTGCAGGCTGGGCATGTCATATTCAGTGTAGACTGTCAAAGGGAGCTCTGGAAGGAAGCTATCCTCCTGGGACTTTGGATGTGACTTAGAAGAAGGAACACAGTGGATTTTCCACTGGTGTCTTCCCATACTATCCCCCCACCCATCCTTTTGCAATCAGGATATTCTATTCCCTGTAGAAACTGAGTTACATAAAATACAGGAGATGAAGAGCCCATACGGTGAAATGAGAGTGGGCAAGGTAACACTCCAAGCAGCCATTCAGCAAGATTCACCCTCTAAAGCACGGTATCTGGGGCCAAGAAGTTTTTCTCATCTATAGGCACATTATTCCTAGAAATTTTTCCTCTTCAGATTTAATTAGCATAATTAAGAAAAATGCACGCTCATTGCCAACACCATTCACTCTCTCAGGTTAGCTTCTCTTTTCCAGGGCAATCTGGCCCCATACGGGGTTTCTTTGGGCCCCAACACTGAACTCCCACTTGCAAATGCTTTGCTCATCAGAGTTCAAAGGAAACTCGGTTCAGGCTGCCACTGTCAGGAGGGCGGCTGCCGCTGTCTGCACCACGGAGAGGTATTCCAGTCAGGCAGCTGAACTCATGCACACTTTGTACTGTCAGTCCTTCCCCACGGTCTTTCTGTCCGTGAAGTGCTATCAAGTCCTACATGGACATTTAAACATACAGACATATGTTGGGGAGTCTTTTACATTTTCTGGGACTTGTTTTTACCTCTAAAATCTAAGTGAATTGGGTTAGCTGATTTCCACGTTTACTCTGAGTTTTAAGCTGCTAGTCACTGTGATATTAGTAGAAGGATCGTTTACACAGGAAGAGAGGACCTGCACTCTACTTCCAGAACCTGCTGTACTCCCGTTCCTCCTGCGGGAGCGCCTACAATGTGTGCTGCCCTGTGGGCACCTGTCCCACCAGAGTTGCAAAGGCCAGGTGTTTTTCTGGCATTCTTTACGGCTCCCAGGCTAAGGCCCCAAACGAACTGAATACCACGGAACAAAATTCTTTCTGAATCCACTTTATGGGGCATCTGGGTTTCTTACCTGACATGGCAGTATCTGACCTCCCTTCCCAGCACAGGGTGTAACCTTACCCTCCAGAGGCAATTCGGTTCCTTGTAAGGCATTATTAGGCTGCAATGTGGGCAAACTTGTGGTGTGAAAAGCTAAACTTTCCCTGGGGAAGTTAACTGAGACAAAAGGAGTATAGAATGTTTTTGCCCTCCATAATAAGTTTCTCTTAAAAAGAATTTATAATATTTACTAATCATAATACAAAATTTAGGGGAAACAAACTCTAAGCACCTAGACTCAATCAGATACCAGTAACCTTTAAATATTTGCTAGTTAACATGACCTTGACTTCAGGACCAGCAGAACATACTTTTGTAATGTATCTGAACCCTTTCCAAGAGCCAAAGATTTCTAGAATAAATTGCAGGCTCCAACATACCAGCGCTACAAGTCTCCTAGGTATCAAACGTCCTTGTGGTGGATTCTGCAAATTCGTGATTTTTCTTAAGGTGAGAAATAGTTGATTACTTCCAACTTAGTTCAAGAAAAGACATCAGCTGTTTCGCCTTTTAATGCTATAAGCACTGTCAGCTGTCCTTCCTGTCTTTTCTCACCTCATTGCCAAAACAAACAAAATGAAGTAGGGGAGAAAATCATTTCGAGGTGTGATCCAGTTTTTAAACAGGTATTTAAAATAATTTAAAATTTTCTAAAATAGTCAATAATCCTTTATTGATTTTTCTGGCTGTCTTCTAAGTCGGTCCAAGTTTACTACCACTTCCTAAACTTACCTTATCCTTCATGTTATTGCTCATTAACACCAATGTTACAGAGCTCCCAGGACACTTCATCCTCCAAGCTCCAACACAGAATAATTTTGGTAAATGGTCTCAGAGTTGCCAAGATACCAGGCTTCACTTTTTAAAAAGCAATCTTTACTGAATATAAAATATATATTAAAAATTCCAACTTTAGTGATGTTTATTTACCAATATCCTACTTAGATCTCAGAGTGCTGAGTTTTTTATAAGATCATGGTACCATTAAAACATCTAGAGACTGAGGGTCCATCCACAGACTGGGATGAATTTCATTTTCTTAAATAAATTCACTGTAACCAGTTCTAGGAATGGTCCTACATAAAAAGCATGGGGTATGCCCTATGGCACACTGATAGGGACCACTGATGCTAGGTTTCCCCTCTTTTCCTAAAGCTGTAGGAGAAAAGCAGAGGGATGATTTTGGTCACTGACTGTATGTTCATTTTGTCAATCCCTCCCAACCTATTGAGTTAAAACTACAGAGTGGCATTCTTTACCAGAAGACTTCTTACAAACTACTGTTAACTGTTTTGAGAAAGACAAATCCAAAGGAGACTAAGGTGAATGAAGTCCACAGGTTCATTCATTCACTCATTAAACAAATCATGAACTATTTATAAAGTACCTGCTGTATGATGGACACTGCCTTAGGTGGTGCTGGGGGAGTAATGGGGAGTTCAAGAGAACAATTCTCTGCCATCACGGAGCTCACAGTTTCATGGGGGAGGAAGACATTGATCCAGAAAACCACATGAAGAAATGCAAAGTGGTAAGTGGAAGCGCTTGGAGGGAGGGTGTCTCTAATAGAGGGCTGACCTGCTCAGAAAGATCAGGGAAGGTGAGTAGAGAAAGCAAAGTTTAAACTGAGATGTGAAGGACTAGAGAAGTTAACCAGGCAAAGGGAGAGGGCAGTGGATGAGGAAAGAGCCAACCGGGTTGGCTGGAGCAAGCACACAGGCAGAGACTTGGTGGCGGGCAGGGGCAAGGGGGCTCGAGGAACTGGGGCGCCCCTGGGGCCAGAGCCCAGCCCCGTCCCATTGAGATGAGCCCCTGCGAGGCAGCTCGAGGCACGACCGCAGATTCCAGTCAGTCAGGGCTTTTGTTTTAGTGATTCCAAACATATGGGGAAAGAATCTATTTCATCTTAAAGCCTGACTCTGACTTTGCAGCATTACGCCCCCTTCTACAGCTGAGGGAAACCCCGTGGGGCTTTTCACTGTACAGGCTTGTCCTGAATTCCGAGTTCTCTGGAGACCACAAAAGTCCACGGCATCTAGAAGTCCCTCTAAACTTTGCCTCTGAGGAGTGAGCACTGTGGAAGGAGAAAGAGGGACTTCTCTGAAGCAGAAGAGCAGTGTTTGGAAATTCTCTTCCCTTATTGTTCTGAACGTGGCTAGGAACCCAGGGCAGCCCCCTGAGCACAGCAGCAGTCCCCACGGCAGCACAGATGCTACACTGGCCCTTCCTCAGCATCTGTACCACGTGTGGTCCTTTGTCACCATGTCGCCTATATTTGGCGAGAACGGGGCACAACATGTGAAGCTCTGTCAAGTGCAGTATTTGCTTTGACAGCAGAGAAGACAGGTGGTGTCCCAGTGCAGTTTGCTGTGTTGTAACGAAGGTGTGAATCAGACTGGGATACAGTTGAGATGTTTCCAGAAGGGGTTGCCTCTGGCTAGGAGCAGCCTTGTCAGTTTACTACAGTGAATCTCAGAAGAGTTCCATGCTACCACGTCATAGTGTGAAAGGTCGAGAAGGGCTGAGGAGGCATTTGGGGCCTCCATCTCTTTGGTTATCTATGACTTGTTAGCATAGAGCAAGAAAGAAGTTTGAAGGATGTTTTGAAACCCAAGTGATACACTGTATGTTCTAACACATCTTTTCCATTTTCCTGGGCTCTTCATCTTTTTACACCAGAAACAGCAGTCAATCCAACTCGCACTTAATATTTTTCATTGAAGCTGTTTAAAATGTCTTCCTTGGCACACAGATTGCATGATATTTCTTTTCGTATAAATCTTACAAATGGGTGAAGAATGATAGCCTGTTTATTTTCCTCACCTTACTTTTTATTTTTTTAAATAATACCCTGAAGAGAAAATCAAATATTTGAGAA